TCACATACCTAAATACATACATATCTATGCAATTGATGACATTATTGTCGTACGCATACGGTAGCCACTTTCGACGCAGATCAAGATACGCTGAACTGGTTATCATGCTCTTGTTGGCTCCTCATTGCAAGAGGTTTTCTGATCGTGCTGGTCATTCCGCTTGCATTTTTGCATGACTTTCGATTTTCAAAGTCAGCTAGCGCATGTGCATCAACAATGCAGTCACTATAAATGTCAACGATTCTTGAGTACACTCAACCAACAATCAGTCCAATTAAAGTAGCGTTTAGAAGATTTTCTTGTGCACAGGTATCTATCTATGTGTTTTTATTTCCATAGGATAAATGACACGACGATATTAAGTCTAAAAAACTGCAATGTCAACACAAACCTAAAACGCGTAATTTGAGACGCTCAATGGCTCTTAAACGCTATCACAAAAATTATTCTGTGATTATTCCATTGTAATATTTTAATATCATTGAAAACTAGATTTCAATTGATAAACAACACAGCATATGTCCATAATTTTATCACAAAATTAATTTAGTATTTACCATTTTTCGTTAGAAAGTAATTAACATTTAGGTAGCTGTATTCCACACAAACTTCATGTGTTTCATTTGTTTCAAATTTTTAGGGTTGAAGCATAAACATAAATAATAAATAAATATGAAATTTGAGCTTGATTAACAAATTTTTAAAAACTTAACTCCACAAATACAAAAACAAATCGATTTAATAGTTTTCCAAATATCACACATACACACATAAAAATTCTATATGAAAAGACATATTAAACAAATTTTTTTTTTTCTTGAAAAATTTTTCACATACAAATTTTTGGAAAAAAATAATAATTTTTGAAAATATGCCATCTCAAAAGAAAATTAAAAAAAATTGTTGTATTTAAGTATAGTATTACGGTGTGCACAATAATTTGAGTTATGCATTTTTTTTCACACCGAAGTTGAGCAAAATGGGTACATTACAAAATTACAAATGTTTTTCTGAATTTTTTTGAGTATGCAGTTTTATTTCCCATTCAATTTTAGTATATTAAAGTGCAAGTTCTAACCGATTGCAAAACCGCCGTATATTTTTGTTGATTTTCTTTGAAAAGGGGTTTGCTCATTTTCTTCCATAAGAAAAAAGTCCAAAAGGCCGGCAGTATAAATTTAAATTTGTAATGTACTCATTTTACTCAACTTCGGTGTAAAAAAAATTCATAACTCAAATTATTGTAGAGTACTCCCCATAATACTATACTTAAATATTGCGCAATACTCAGGGCTACCATTGTGATTTTTTTAAATTTTTTTGGAGATGGCATATTTTCAAAATTTTTTTTTTTTATAAGAAAATTTGTATGTGAAAAATTTTTGAAGAAAAAAAATTTTAAATATATTTCTTTTCATAAGGAATTTTGATGTGTGTATGTGAGATTTCTTTTCAAATTTTTTACTTGCCCCGTTCTCGAGATATTTGGAAAACTATTAAATCGATTTGTTTTTGTTTTTGTGCTGTTAAGTTTTTAAAAACCTAAAAATTTTAAACAAATCAAACACATGAAGTGTGAACCCCGTCCGTTTTGGTATGGAACGCCCCATATACATACATTTATGTATAAAGAAAAACGTAGGATAAACATAAACAATCCTAATTCGTAAAACCGCACGAAATCTGCAGTGAGAAAAAGTCATCATTCTTCCCAGCCCACCTCGAAATTCTATATTCCAATGGAAAACGAGTAAAATAACCTCATGTAGGAATATACGTGAAAAGTTATGTTGCCTTACATTTAGTAAAGTTGTGTATGTTACTCGTGTTTCTATAAATTACCGTAATTTGGGAGGTAGGCGCGGTGATAGCCCGATTTCAAAGATTTTGAACATATTTCTTAGCTGGGTGGGGATGTCAGTGGCAAAAATACATCGATGTTTTTCTTTGATTCGACGCATCGAAATGTACATCGATATTTTTCGATGCATCGAAGGGCATACATCGATGCATCAATTTGCATAGGATTTTTCAGATAATATTTCACAATAAAATATGTTATTAGCAAAATTGTACAAAATTTGAAATAAATTACTGCAACTGAGCTAGTTATGTTTCTAACGGAACTTTTTCGAGCCGTTTCAATTTTATAGTCAAACTCACTTTTTTTTTTGTGGAATTGAAAAACTGGAACGATGGCTCAATGTATTAAAGATGCCAGTTTTCAAAAAACATCGATGCATCGATACATCGACTATTTATACATCGAGTGGAAAATTTTCGATGCATCGATGTTTTTCCGACATCCCTATAGCTGGGCCCTAAGCCAGACAAGTGGGTTTTACGAGGCCGGTAGCAATCCTAGGGCAAAACCCATTTTTGGGAGTTGGTATATAATAATTATGACTTTTAATTGGGTTATAGAGCGCTCGGACGTGTAGGCCGATGACAAAATATTTTTGATTAAAGCATGTCTATACTATACTTATATCACCTCTAAGTATTAATCTGTTACGAATTACCTTTCTGTTGAAAAGTAAGTTCAGATATAAAATAGATACATGCATATACACACATAACTGAAAATTTGTGAAAATCTATCTGTGTATTAGTTACTTATGCAACTAGTGTTAATTGTATGAATAAGTGGCGCTAGGTGCTTCAACATTTGGATATTTAACTATTGTGTATCTCGTAAATAAAACGCATGTAAGACAAGTCATCAAAAGCATGTAGCCCCTCAAGTCACACAGCTACGCAATGCCCCGACGAGCAACTTTATAATCTCAGAAAATATGTAACTGCTACACACCTACTTAACGACATACATACATATGTACATAAACACACATTCGTAGTCAGCTGTTTGCCCATCACGTTGCTTATTGCGGTCATCACTTGGCAATTACTACAACTACTTTATTTTATTAGATCTGCTCCGGCAATTGTCAAATGTGCGAAAACCAGCTGTAACTAATTAATTATTCACGCCTTTTTATCATTTGAAAAGGGAATAGTGCAATAACAACTACGATTTCGTTGCTCATGCTCGTTTTACTTTCCGCTCAACTGTTGGGCATTGGCACTGAAAATTTGGCACAGGTCAGTTTGGTGCGAAGTTTTGAAAATATTTTCACATTTTTCTTCCCACCACGAAATAACTTTGAGTTATACCTTACTCAAACTCATAGTGGGGTAGAAAATCTCGTGGTTTTACGAGTGCAGTTTTCTTTGGCCGAATGTATTTCTAATCTTAGATTATTTTACGTTAAATGTTAAACGTGTAAGTAGAAAAATGATACTCAAACTCAAATTTTTGTAATAAATACTAAATATGTTAAAAGTTGTACACACCGAGCTTTCAGAACGGGCGACCCTGTCTGATATTTTAGAAGATTAATATGAGCTCAAAAACTAGGGTTGCCACTGACGAAAAAATACTTACCATCCACTTGAAATCTACCAAATCTGGAAAATACCTACCAATAGCTTTTTGTTAATTATTTTAATAAAAACTATAGTTTTGTCTATTTTTTTAGTTATTTCAATAAAAATTATAGAAGGAACATTTTTTTAAATAATGGTATGCTATTTGAGATCATATTAATGACATTTTCTCGGTTTCCTTCAACCAAAAGCGAAAGTGATGAAACTGGAGGCAACTACGAAACTTTATGATTTGAAAAAGCTTCAACTGGGGTTACACATGTTGTGACCATAGCTCAAAGAAGTACAGGACCTGAGAACTAAAGTAGTATGAAAGTAATGAGAACTTCGACAATTTGATTAATTAAAAATTTAACTTTATTCAATAACAATACAAACTTAATTTAACACTTTGTATTTTATTATATAGATAATATTGTGGCGTAAAAAAAATTTTTTTCGAGAAAAATGGAAAAGGCGACAAAGTCTTAGCGGTGGAGCTGCTATTTCGGAGATCTCCAAATCTCTTCATCAGAATTGTTTTTCTAAACTTCAGCAGAGATCGAACCCGCTTCATCGATGTAAATACAAAGCCAGCAACGCTAACCGTTAAGCTAAGCACACCTTATGTTTAAGAGTTCCACCTTTAAATTTTTCTTAATTGAGTAGTCATTCATAATGAATTTTATCAGCTAGAGAAGTGAAATGTCATAATTTATGTGTTGTTCTACGAGTATCTTATTTAACAGAAATTACTAACCTTCTATAATTTTGCGAGTATATCAAAGAAAACTCAACTTAAAAAGTAGTACAAAATATTGCATACAAGTACACTTGACTGTACTGCGAAGTACAATGGCTCAAAAAGGAGTAATGTACTCCCGAATGAAGTACGGTTGATCACATTAGTTATACAGTGACTCAAAAAATCGTTCGGTGTTGTTTTCATATTCACAATGTTTTTCAAGTAAACATTGATTTGTTATTCCTCTTTTTTTTAAGAAAATATTAACCAAACTCATACAAATCAAGCATTTGAGCTTGAGCATTTAGAAAAATCCAACAATTTCGTCTAATTTTCGAGTTTTCTACTCCGACGCTTAAGAACATTTTTGGCTAAGTAGTTTTATAGACCATGGAATTTTAGTATAACCAAGAATATGTAGCAAAAAATTTCCGGTTGATTTTTTAAATTTTTTGCTGCCGATCTTTTGTGCTACCTGTCCATCTTTTTATTTTTACTTAACGAATCATTTAAAACATTTAAGCAATGAAAAGCTCCTCAGTTTTGAATGGCGCACGATATTTTCGCCTTTTTGTCGATACACATACATACACTCATAATAACACAGGGTTTCAATAAAAAAAACGTTTATGCATATAAAACCAAACTTATATGTACGGGGGTGGTCTTAGATGTACCCGGCCTAAGCTAGAGATGGCGGTAGTTGTTTGAAAAATATCACTGTATTAAAAAGTACACAATCTATAAAGCATATGTTTCAAGTTTGAAGACACCACGTTGTTTAGTATTTGCTTGGCAGCCGTCAATAGTGAACGTTTTCAGTGAATTTATGAAAATGGTGAAAATTGCTCATCGTTATGTGCAACAATACTTATATTTGAAAGGCCTCAGCCCATCCAATAAAAAAGCTGAAATAGATTCTACTTTGGGCGAGTCTGCTCTTTCGTTTACAACAGTAAAATATTGGGTAGCTCAGTTTAAACGAGGTCCTACGAGCTGCCAAGACGAGCATCGCAGTGGTCGACCAAATGAGGTGACTACTCCAGAAATGGTGAAGAAAATCCACAAAGCGGTAATGGATGATCGTCGACTGAAAGTTCGCGAGGTAGCAGATATAGTAGGCATTTTAAAAAGTATGGTACATCGCATATTATCTGATGATTTGGAAATGAAAAAGCTGTGGGCAAGATGGGTGCCGCGTTTGCTCACACCCGACCAAAAGCAGTGTAGTGAAGAGGTTTCAATTGAGTATTTAGCGAATTAATCTTTGAATTGCTAACTCATGTTCCCTATTCGCCAGATTTAGCCCCCTTGGACTATTTTCTGTTACCCAACTTCAAAAAATGACTCCGTGGTCAAAGATTTTCTAACGATGAAGAAATGATGTCGGCAGTTAATGGCTATTTTGAGGAGCAAGACAGTTCTTAATATAAAAAGGGTTTCGAACTTATTGAACATCTCTGGGAAAAGTGTATAGAGCTGAAAGGAGATTATGTTGAAAAATAAATATATTTTTCCCCAAAATTTTTGTGATTTCTTTGTTAGTTCGGGTACTTCTGGGACCACCCCCGTATATCCCTATGTTATTCGACACGCTGAATGCGAATATGGGGGTCCCTTGATTTCTCAAGGTCATTTAGAAGTCATGTCAAGGCCATCCTAAGGTCAAATTCAGAAGAATTGTATTGAATTTTCAGGTTTATTCAATGAATTTTTCCCTACTTGACCTTCAACTGACCACAAACCTGACGAGGTGGAGGCTAATAGACCTCGGATTCGTATTCAGTTTGTCGAATAACATACACTGAGGGAAATAATGCATAGGTAAAATGAATACGTTATATTTGATTATCGTTTAAAAATGTTTGTATTTAAAAATAATATTTTCATACAAAAATTTATTACTCACGTATTTGACTGTTCACATCTGAGTATTTATATGTAAGTGCACATACGCATCCCAAGCATGCCGAGCGGGGACACAACACACACACACACATACATAGTACATGTATATCCGTAGAAATCCATGCAAATTAAATATTTTTTTTTTTTTAGTTTTTGTCTTGATTATTCACTTCACGGATGCTTTTTCAGAACGAAGGCGGTCATTTTAATATGCGCGTAATTGAATTGAATATTTACCAATATAAATTACTTTCGTTGACGTTTATATTAAGATCAATTACATTTCCATTTGATTTTAATATTTTTTCCCTCAGTGTAGGGATATATAGGTTTGGTTTAATATGCATAAACTTTTTTTTTATTAACCTGTGTAATTATTACCTGTTGAAATAGGTAAACAATTTAAAATGATATTGTTTGCAATTTATGTTTATTTATTTAGTTTTAAGAAATTTAATTTAAAATGTATTTCATTTTGTAACAGAAGCCGCATAAATAAAGGTTTCAAAGCTTGCCCAACTTTCACAAAAAGTCAAAGTTAATCAAACTCAAAAATGTTCTTCAACATTTCAAAGGTTTTATTCAGAAATTTTTGAAATTTTAAAAAACTTTCGAGTATGCAGCTTTTTAGTTCATTTAATTTTAGTAGGATAAAGGGCAAGTTTAAAGTAACTAAATATTACCCTTGATTTAGGATTTTCCTCCTGGATATTGCACATTTTCTTCCAGATTTTGTTCATACGTTAATTGGAAGAAAATGCTGAGCATAACAAAAATCAACGGTAATTTTTAGTCTCTTGAAACTTGCACTTTGCTACGAAACTGCATATGCAAAAATTTTCTAAAAGCTCTGAATGAAAAGTTCTTCCAAAGAAGAAGCTTGCCAAAAAATCTTCAAAGTTTATTGTGGGGTAGTTTTTGTTCGACTTTCCAAATTTTTCTCTGTTACTGTTTAGAAATAGTCTTTGTTTACTGGTAAAAACTAAGGCAAACTGTATTATTGTCTGCATATAAAATAAATTGCGAATAATTTTCTATTTTGCAAACAAAATATTTCACCGTGGAGATATGTATTTTATTTTCAATATATACATATATGTAAACTATTATGTCATGATATTAGGTGTCAACAACGAGTGGGCTAGCTAGCGGCCTTTTGGGGAGTATTTGTTTCTTGCTCAATAATTATGGCGCAATGCAGGAATCATAGCTAAGAACTCTCTAAAAATTGCTACCAACGCTTGCATTTGATAAACAAAGTAAACACATAAATTTTAATTGAACTAGTGAAATGTAAATCGGATTAAGAACTATTTTTTGCAAGCTCACGCAGATCATTCATCGTTCAAAATTATACATACGTATTTCCTAAAAAGAGCAACAATAATATATACTTATATAAATACATAAACACATACGTGCTGCGTGCAGCATAACTACCCACGGTCTTCACACTTTTATTTTTTCGCTAAAATACATTGACCTTACGGTAATTGCCTAACAGTGATTACATTTTACAAATTGAGATTGAGACATTTTTGATTTCAACCCACAAATTACCAGCGGCCCAATCGCAATCATTCATTTCTCAAATTGACAAAGCTAATTTTATTTAGCAAGCGATCCGAAAATAATAAAACTACAATTCACGCATCTCTTTCCACGTTACTCCAATTACAAATTTTGATAGCTGCCAAGTTGCAAAACTTAAATTGTTCAGCCAATTTACTCGTCCCATTGCCGAGTGTCATAGTTGAATTGTTCATCAATAAAAATTTCCAACTTGCATTTGACAATGAAAAATCTGCAAATAAGTGGACTCTTTTGCAAAATGTTTACAATAGATTTCAAATGTAAATGCTCTACAAGTCATGCACTTCGTGCGAATATCGCGCAATAATAAATAATTATTTGTTAAGTTGTAGCGTTTTTATGGCCGCAAATCTAAATGTGTCGAAGTCCGCTACTATTTATAGACTTTTTTTTGTGTTGGTCACTGTTAGCTCCCTTAAATTGGAAATATGTAAGTATATAGAAATAAATTGTACATTTGGTTTAAAATTGGTTATCTATAAATTATAACAATTATTACAGCTACAGTTATTTTGCGTGGGTTTATAATTACGGTGACCAGATATATGTGCATAAAAATCGGGACATTTTTAAAGCATCGATTCCGAACATACAATTTTGTTTTTAGAATAAAATGAAATAACATCTTTTAATACAAAACAAAACAAAGAGAAAACTTGAAAAATGATCGCAAGAATTTATACACACAATATATACGGTGGCAAGTTTTGGCCACTTTTCTTTGTTTAAAATTTTTTTTATTTTTTTACGAAAATATAGCTTACTAACTAGAAAAAAATTAAGCGCGCCTGGGCCACACTGGAGAAGTGAAGCTTACGTTAAATATCTATTTTGTCTCATAACCAATTTACATACATATGTATCTGTGTTTGTATGGAATAGTAGCTTATGTCGAGAAGCTGGCTTTAGTATAATGCGGCATTCCCTTTATACTTTAAACCACAAGGAATTTTTTGATAAGACTTAATAAGAATATTAACTTTCTAGTTACTATTTGCCAAAAGTATTTCAACGGCTTGGCGCCAGTGAGTCGTTCGCAATCGTATGCTGCGAAATCCGCATTATACTAAAGCCAACCTTTCAGCATAATCATCTATTCCTAAAGAACACAGATATGTACATAGTATGTACATCAGCTTTTGCTGAAAGTTATCTTTTCTCTTTTTACTAGATCCCTACCTTTGCCCCTGTTCGTTCTAATTACATATATTAACGTTATTCTGTTTGCCTTTATCCTCATTTTTATCTTTATACTCTATCGATAACAAAATCGATGGTAACATCCAACAAAATATCGATAACTAAACCGATAAAAATATCGATGACAAAATCTATGAAAAATTCGATAAAAATTTCGATAAAAAATCGATAAATCTATCGATGACAAAATCTATAGATAACCAATAACAAAATCGATTATAAAATCTATAAAAATGTCGATAACAATATCGATAATAATATCGATAACAAAATCGATAAAAACATCGACAACAAATTCGATAACAAAACCAATAACAATATGATAAAAAATATTGATAACAAAACTGTCAAAAATATCGATAACAAAATCGATTATTATATCGATAAGTTCCGAAGATATCGATAGCAAAATCTATCAAAATTTCGATAGCAAAATCGATAAAAAGATACCTCCCGAGAATCCCGAAAATCTCTAAAATCCCAAGTTAGTTTTTATATTGAATCTCCATGTCTCTATCTGTATCCTTTTCTCTATATTTACCTTTGTTTTAATCTTTCCTCCTCTATCTTCATCTATAGATTTATCGGTATCCACTTCCTCATCTTTTTCTTTATACTCATCTTTGTTTTTACTTTATGTTTATCGTTTTATTCATCTACATATTCCCCTTAACCTTTTCCCTTATATAAGTAAAGTGTTAAAATTTACCTTGGTCTTCATTTTTGCCTTTATCTTTACGCATTTTTTTTTTTGTTTTTATTTTTACCTTTGTCTTCATCCTTTTCTTTATCTATGTACGTACTCACCTTTACTTCTATTCTTGTATTGGTCTTTTTCTATGTGTTATTATTTAACCTTTTATTAGCAAATTTTTGTTAAATTAATACCATGTGCATACACTCAAGAAGCACTTGTTTCAGTACCAACCATTTCCGTTGCACCATTTCCATGTGCAATTTCCATTGCACCATTTCCGTTGAATTTGTCACTTTACTCCCAACCAACCAACTGCCGCTAAAGAAGTTTCACTTCAAACAACCATGTAAATGAAAATTTGAAAACTTTGTAGAACATTTATAAAAATTCGACGAATTTTCACAAATGTTGACCAAAATGCTTAACATTTTAATCAGATTTTTTCGAATTGTTTTTATATTGAGTTTTGTAGCCCATTCAATTCAAAGAGCAAGTTTGAAGTAGCTTGGACTTACCGTTGACTTTTGGAAATTTTTTGTTCGCACATATGTTCGCAAAGTATGTTCGACAATTTTTTTATATGGAGGAAAGGAGCAACACCTTCCACAAAAAGAGTTTTGCAAAAACCAACGGTAAGTCCTAGCTACTTAAAATTTGCACTTTGAATTGAATGGAAAACTGAATACTCAGGATACTCCTAAGAAATCTTAGTAAAAAGCTCAACATTTTGTTGAAATTTTGTCTAGTTTAGCTAATTTTTGTACAACGTTTGAAATTTTGACTTAAATACATCCTCTTTGTTAGAATTGAAATTAGTCTTATTTTTTATAATTTCTCTAAATTCAAGTTGAAATCGTTTCATGAAA